CACCTGCTGCCCCAGGGGGAAGGCACGATCGGACCCCCCGCCTCCACGACTGTCAATGGAGTGACGTCATCATCGGGCACCCCGGGTGCCCCATTGAAGGTGGCGCTCTAGGCGACAGCCAAGTCGGCCTATAGTCACACGCCACCCCTGCTCATAGGAATATTATTAGTTTGCCATGTCAATGTCATAACAACTATAACCTGCTTTTTGCAGTGTACTTTCCAAATACTAATTATTTTCACAATGCCTCAATAACTTAGGCAGGTGATAGTAGGAGGATGTGCCCTGGTGCACCTCTCTGACAAGAACTGGCTGAGCTGTGGCAAAAGCCAGCAGGCAGCTGTTCAAAGAGCTGGCAAGGACCCAGGTTGCAACAGGACAGTCCCCATAAGAATTTAAATTATTTTCACCCCGGCAGATGTTATTCACTATATGGGTTTAAAATGAATCAGACAGCAGGTAAGTAAGTGACTTGTCCAAGGTTATGCAATGAATCAAAACTATGGTTGGAAAGAGCTCTGCTCTCCCTCACCCCCTCAGAGTCCTTGTTTTAATCAGAAGAGAATTGCTTCCATGTGGAAATATAAACTTTTGCCTATTTTTTAATAATTAAGGACAGTAAACGTTCTTTTAAAGGGGGAACCTGCTAGAAGGATAAGTGTGTCACTAACCTTTAGATTCTTATCTTGTGTCTCAGGCTATGTCTAGACTACAAAGATAAATCAGAAAAATATAAATCATATCTCTTTCCGATTTTCTTCTGAAAGACGATTTTCCGAAATTTGGCCTCTCTACACGGAGCCAAATTTAAAAAAAAAAAAAAAAAAAAAAACCCTCTTTTGGAATATCCCTTCTTCATAAAGTGAGGTTTTAAGAGGGATGCTGACAAAATGCATCTACTTTTCTGATATTTTTTTTGGAAAAGCGGATGCATTCCTTGGATGCGACAGAGCTTTTCCGGGATACCTTCAGAAAAAGCTCTGCAGTCTAGACGTTCCCTCGGTTTTGAGCATGAATTCAACTTGAGATGTTATTCTTGGAAGCTCTTGCACTTTAACATTGGAGCAGTTTCTTTAAACCTCAAAGCTCTTTAAAAAGCATCAAGATGAATGAATACTCAGCCTCAGGTTTGGATTAAGGCATAATGTTTTGTTGTACCACTGAGTTTACAGCAGCCACCATTACAGAGTGAGCATACGCACACAGTGCTATCTGAGATGATAGCGACCATCTGTGGGAACATTAAGTCTTGGGTTTTTAGTGGTTTGTACGTAATTTTTGAGTGCCTCATGGCCAAGGCAGGCTAAAACTGGGAGGAATTAAGCAGGGATTAAATTCATGGCTTGGATGTTTATTCCTGCCTTTTAAACTGCTGAAAAATTAAGAGGGTCAAATTAATCTGTCGTGGAACAACCTGTGAACTGTCGTGTAACAGCCTGTGAACCGTTGTCCAGGATGGAACAGTATAACACACACAAATAGCAAAGGCCTGGTTCTGAAGAGCCTTTGCAGCCATGTGAAGTGGGTGTAAAAAAATCAGGGGACTGACAAAATTGTCGGGTCTCTAGGCAAGATAGTTGGGGCCAGACTCCACATACCCAGAACAGGTGGGACTTTAGGCAGAAGACACAGAACTAAGGGCAGCCCTCAGCACTGCCTGGAGTGCACTGCAAATTCCACTCCCCCATCAGCCCTCAGTGCCACCGAGAGCATACTGGGGCTCCAATCGCTGCTGAATCATCATCGGGCAATTGTGCCTTTCGCCTCCTCATTCTCCATCATCAGATCTGGTAAAATGGTACCCTTCTGATTTAGTAGCATTCTACAGCCACTCTGCCTGGTGTGAATTACTACTTTAAGGGACCCAGCAGTGGAGACTGTGCCCATAGAATCTAGCCAAACCTCCATATTCCTAAGGGTTAATTTTTTATGCCTGGAAGGGTCTACATAATGCTAGCCTTACCTCAACTTCTTCTGACTGCATCAGGAGGTCACATGGTGGCTTCAGTGCCTTTGGCCGGCTAGCGAACCAGTATGCAATCACCGCAGCAAAGGCACCAATGCCAACTAAGGTGGTGGCTGGCAAGCTGCGGAAAAATTGACTGAAGTCATCGAACTCAGGCAGCCGCAGGCTCCTCAGGATTTCCTGTGCTTGCATCTTCTCAAAGATGGAAAGAGCAAATTCTACAGGATGCAAAGGAAAATAGTCAATTAATACAACAGGATTAACAGACATGGGCCAAAGCATCTGCTGTCCTAAGAGAGCAAAGGCAAAGACGGGCAGTTCTCCCTTCACCTTTTATAAACACACTATGCCATTATGCTGACGCAGAAACAGAGCTGCTGTCAAAGAATGGCACAGAGCAAAAAGCATAATTAGCATCATGGCAACAGGAAATGGGTATATTTAGAATGTTCTGTGTCTGAAACGTGTGCTGAAAGCTCCCGGGTTCTGCTTGAAATAGGACGCCTACTTCCAAAGGCAGCGAGACTGAGGCATGGCAGACAGCTGACGGCTAGAAGAGACGCCTTTAACATGCATGGAGTTTTTTCATTTCCAATATGCTTAGTACTGGTGATAATCACATGGTAACTTCCAAGTGGCAGTGTGTGTGCTGCAAAAGGATGTGTTGCTTCCGTCAGCAAGAAGGCCATTCAGTATTTTACACTTCACAGTCATTACTGAGCAGCAGAGGTTTTTTTTTTTTAAATTACTATAAGAATTTAGCAGCAGCTATTTAAAACTGCAGCTTTTTCCTTTGTGATCCAGCATCTTTCAAGAGGCCTGTAATTTTTCCTCCCACTTCTAACTCAAGGTATTTCTATGGACCTATTGTGGCCTTGTGTGACACAGAGGTAGGGGTACCAGATGATTTAAAAAAGAAAATGATACCGGACACACTTGATCTCAGATGGGGGTGAGGACCAGCCAGGAGGGGAGCAGAGCTGACCAGGGGAGATGGGGGG